CATTTGTAAATACTGTTAGTTCTCTGAATTATTATGATTAATATTCCCTTTTTAACTTTAATCTCCATCTTTACTCACAATTAATATAAATGAATTTTCCTTTTTTTATTTAAGCCGAAGGCCCTGGTAGCCAGTGCTTTAGTTTGTAAGTGGAATAATTATTTATAATTGTTTCTCTTTTAAATAAATAAAAAATAAAAAAATAAAGTTATAGGCATACATATTTTATTTACTCACATTCGAGGTAAGGTACCATTTCAGTTAGGTCTTTAATCTTGTTTTTGTTCATTTTCGGCTTACATAAAACAAGCATTGTTTGCTGAAATAAATTGTTTGGGGTTACGTTTACGAAACGCCCACGGGAATGTTTTATAATACATGGAGAATTAATATCAATTTCCTCGTGACTCGCTTTATATCCAATATTCCATAAATTATTTTAGTTGTACTCTAAATATTTTACTTTCGAAAAAGTCACAAGGTTAAAGTTCAAAAGTCCAGCTTTTTGTGAAAAGTTTTTGAAATCCTCAGGAGCCATTTGAAGAATTTTCAAATGGGTTTTGGGATATTTTACATTTTTTATAATTTGTACTAATGCTAGTGAACTCGGAATTTGTATCGAAAATTTGTGAAGGAGTTCGTGCGGTCATTCCCTGTTAAATTTGAATTTCACTGGTATAGGCACTTATCTATACATGGTGAACCCAGCTTTCTTCCACCTCTTTGTTTTCCCTTCCTATCTGGATAAGGTTTTCCACTTTCCCGCAGCCTATTCCTTATATTTTGTTTCCATAAGCACTTATTCCTTTGACGTTTTCTCGCGGTTGTTGAATCCTGGAAATTATTTTAGTAGTTATACTCCATGTTTTCACAAACAATAAAAACTTACACTAATTATGGTCTAAGGTAGTGTTCGTAAAATGTTCCTTGGCGTGCTGGGTGACCCATTCATGTCCAGAATAGCCTTGGCACTTTCGTAAAATTTTTAAGTTCGCCGATGGTGCATATACATATGTATGTATGTACATACATACAAACACCAATTAATTTCATTTAAAGAAATGGCGTGTCGTCCATTTCTGCTGTAGCGTAGGTAGTGCATAGGCCGACATCTACCTCTCAACCTACGAGGTTGGTGTCTAGACTTTTCTTTATAGGAACTTATATATAGCTGTCTGGACACACAACATTGCAAGTGTCTGGACACACGACATTGCAAGTTGATAAAAGAGTTGTAATAAAATACATTTATTTTAGAAATGTTTATTTTACAAGTAAAAAGAGAAAAACTATGAACTAGATTCATTATATGCACAATTTGTACTTTTGAATTTTTTACTATTTTCTCTTTTCGTGTTTTTAACTCACAAAACTTCGCTCTCTATTGTTGTAGTAACATTGAACCACAAGATACATTTTGAAGTTTTCTGAAGCATTTTCATTAGATTTTCGCGAAGAAAAGTCTTGAATGTACTAAACGTACGCTCGGCGTTAGTTGATGCAAGTGGCGCCCAATTTAAATATGGAACGTTTAAAACTTTCATATTATCAGGAATAAAGGCTTTTAGAAAGGTAGAAAAGGAAAAAGGCAAATATTTATAAAAAGCCAAAAAAGGCAACATTAAATGTGTATATATGAATCAGGGACATTCTTAATCGAATATACATACTCTATCTCTTTATCAGAAAAAAGGCAAATTCCATAAAATCCGTTCCCTGCTTATAAGCAACCTAGAAACAATTTTAGATTTCCCAGCGAAAGCGAAGGCTCGGATCTAGAATCTGGAGACATTAAAAATGTGAAATTAAAGCTCGAGCAGCAAAATTATTATTTTTTTTTAAATATAATATGCCCCTTTTGAACTTTGACTACTAGATTTACAGTCTGTACAGGTTAAGCACTCGTTCAATGTTCTAATAATTTACAAAATTTCTAAGTAATAAAAACGATGACTTAAGTTGATTATAGCTTTTTTAATGTTATTCCTAACATTCGCATTCGTACATTCGTATTCCTTAAATTCGCATTCGCATTCGCGAATGTGAAAAATATAACATTCAAAACGTCCCTAGTATGTACATACTCCAAAATCATTTACTGATAACCAGGGAACGGATTTTATGCAAATTGACTTTTTTCTGCTAAGGAGAAAGAGTATATTCGATTAAGAATATCCACGATTTAGCTTTCCCTGATTCCATATATACACATTTGATGTTGCCTTTTTTTTGCCTTTTCTACCTTTAAAAAAGTGATTATAGCATTTACAATTTTTTTTTTTAAGATTAAAAAATATACACAATACACATGCCCATGCGGCTTATAGAAGCGCAGGGACCTCTTGCCAAATTGGTGTTGGAAAAATTCAAAGCCGTTTTCTCAGCTAACGTAGGCTTGGAGACAATAAGGGGTGTGGATAAAATTGTAAAGGGCGAGGAAAACGCCCTTATTCCTGATAATATGAACGTTTCAAACGTTCCATATTTAAATTGCGCTCCACTTGTATCAACTTACGTCGAGCGCACTTTTAGTACATTCAAGGCTTTTCTTCGCGAAAATCTAATGAAAATGCTGCCAGAAAACTTCAAAATGCATCTTGTGGTTCAATGTTACTACAACTATACAGATTAAAGTTTTATGAGTTAGAAACTCGAAAGGATAAAATAGTCAAAGATTCAAAGTACAAATTTTTCATATAATGAAACTAGTTCATAGTTTTTCTCTTTTTACTTGTATTTAATGGCTGCGTTTCTTTATACATTCCGGATAATCTCATTTCACAGCCGGAATAAACAGAATGTGTTTGAAATATACGTTAACATATCATCAGGAACGTTCTAAAGAATAAGTAAACAAAAAAGTTTATTCCAAACGTTCAGAATGAATAAAGAAATTCAGCCAATATAAACATTTCTAAAATAAATGTATTTTTTGATTGTTCTTCGTATTTTCGGTCTTTTTTTAGTGTTTTATTTTGCTTTTTTTGCAATACCTAGTGCCTTTTCCTGCCTTTTTCGCTATTTTGTTTTGCCTTTTCCAGCCTATTTCGTTATTTTATTTTGCCTTTTTTATAGGTTTTTAGGTCCTAAAATCCGTTCCCTGCTGATAACGTTCTTACATACATACATATGTATGTGCATATTGCTTCCTATATACTACCATAGAATAAACAGTATACAGAAGACGCACCACGAACAAATTTATTTATCTTCGGCGGACGTAATACTAGAACCCGGACCAGAGCAGAGAAGTTAACATCACGTCCAGTATGAATAACATGGCGACCCGGAACAGAGCAGAGGAGTTAACATCACTTTCAATATGAATAACATGAAGTTGACATCTCGCCACAAACACACACCGTGATCAGCGTTGCCGCGAGCTTGAAAAAAAAGTATCAGTTGCCGAGAAGAAAAAGTATCAAAAGCAAACATAACTGTTATTTGTTAAACTTTTATAAACAAAAAAAACAAATAATAAATATAATTTTGTAATTAAATCCAAAGTTATAAAAAAAATGTATATTACTTTTGTTAAAAAAAACAGAGAATCTGCTTGCTTATTTGCATAACAAAAAAAAAACTTATAGGGCCCCTAAACCACACAAAAGCATTGCGCAACCCGATACTTGTAAAAGTCAATATTGTGGAAACTACTACAGAATAAAATTGCGCAAACCTTATTTTGGAGAAACGTTGCTCAAGTAAATATGTGCAAGAAATATGAATGTGCATTGTATATTTTGATAGCTTCAGATTTAAAACGCAAAACAAAGTATTAAAAAATAATAATTTTTTTCTACGCTCTTATCCATACCTTACAGCACGATACCAAAATCAAATCTAGACTAAACATTTCGCAGTTGTCGCTATACGCAAGCCCGATATTGCACAATGTTTTTGTGTGGTTTAGAGGCCCTATAACAGCGGCGCGTGCAAAGAAACTCCGAGTTGTTTTTCCCTTATAAGAGTTAGCAAATCAAACTTATAAATATCTATTTATAAATTTTGAGACTTTAAATAATAAGAAAAAAATATTTGCCTTTAAACTAGTAATATTATTCATAGCTTTCAAAAATTTATTTCTGCTAGCCGAAAGTATCAAAAAGTGTACAAAAAAAGTATCAAAAATTATTAAATTGTATCAAAACGGTAACGCTGATCGTGATGGAAAACGAAGATAGTTAAGGCCCTGTCTCCACAGGAAAACACTGATGTCGTGATAACTATGTCACGAAATATATTTCCAATGGAGACCGCTCATGGACTGCAATATATATCAGCGCTTATTGCTTGACATCTATTGCAGGCAATTTGATAGTTTGACAGCCATATTTTCATTTGAAAGAAAGCGTGCTGGTGGTAGCATCGATGAAATTTTCATATTAAATCAAAATAAGAATCTGTTCTCTAATGGATTATTTATGATTACGTTTTAGGAAATTATTCAGCAAGTTTTTTTAAGATTTAAATGTTTTTAAACACCGAGATTGAGAGAATGTTGTCTGGTGGCGTCATGCGGCAAATGCTTATTTCAAGACATCAAAATGCCCACACACTAGGGATGTTGCGAATGTGAAATTTAAAAGCTAACATCCGCGGATGTGGATGCGAATGCGGATATCAAATATTTTTAAGAAATAATTTTGGTGAGTACATTAGGTGAATTAGGTAAATAAAAATGGAAAAGTTAGTAATTTTTAATAATGTTTTTTATTTAGTACTTAAATTAAAAAATTGGAACATTGTATTCAGGAAAGAGTAATTTTGCTGCCTTTTCGGGTTACAGCCGAACCTGCGCCACTAAATAACTACTCGCTCGAGGCGACAAACTTGAAAAACTTGAAGCTTGACAAAATTGTGAATTCTTTTCGATTGACGCTGCACCAGTTGAGAGGACCTTCAGTTATATTTATTTTTTTATTATGGTGCAATAATTCCTTTCTGAGAATTGCATTGGGGCTGCAAATGTCGGATGTATCCTCCTGATTTTCATCTTCACAATCTAGCATCAGGGCAAGATCGTTGTTTAAACCAGGGGTTCCCAAACTTTTTTCGCCGCGGCACCCTTGTTATGCTAAAAAAAAATTCGCGGCACCCCTCTTCAAATGTGTACGAAAACAAGAAAACACAATGCAAAATTTATGCTCCTTTAGCTTTAATGTGAAAATTGTTTTGATGATTTTATTATTTCCTTTAAGTTTATTGGGTGCTTTAACAATTTTACCCTGAAATCATTTGACGCTGAAAGCTTGCTGGTGTATTTGTTTTTAACCGCTTCCCAAAAAGGAGAAGGTTATCAATTCGTCGGAATATTTTATTTTTTTTATATATGCTACCACATAACTTTGGACCACGTTAACCGATTACTATAATTCTTTTTTTAAAGGAAAGGAAAGGGTACCTCACAAGTGGTCCCATTCTAATTTGGTTTAAATCCGATCATTGGATCATGAAAAAATTAACGATAATCTAAAATTTTTATATGGGAATTGAAGTCGGTTTTGTTTTTTGCCTAAAAATTACTTGCTTATGTAAACATATATATTTAATGCAATCTTGCCAACAGCAGTGTTTTGTGGATATACTTGCCTCCAGAACTCTCTTGGCTCCTTTCGTAGTATTTAATATTCAAAGTGCTGTCTTCACTGATGTCCAGAAGGCTTTCAAAAGCTTAATTTGTTATCTCTAGGTTTGCTTTTCGGATCATATGAAAACGGGTTTGTTATCCAGCTGTAGACATCCTCAGAGTAACTGTTGGGAAAATATTCGACAATGGATTTTTCTAAACCTTCCAAGTTAACGCTGGTAACGCGCGTTAAAGCTAAGAAAATAACTTTTACAGCCAATTTCACGAAAGCAATTCAACTGAAAAATGATTTTAATTTTAATTGGAAATTGACAGAAATTAAAAAATCATTTTCCATTTAAATTGCTGGTGGAACCGGCTCTTATCAATATTCTTGGCGTTAACTTCGAAGTTACATACGTTTTTCTGATTTACTTTGTTTATTTATGGGGTTTTCATGCAAACTCTAAAATATACATGTCACCAATAAAAAAAAATCTCATCGCAGCGTCATCCAATTCGGGTTTTAAATCTAGTGGAGGCATCTTCGTAGTCACCATGGAATACCGACAGATCATACAATGACTTCTCGTGGCGTTTTCTACCTCTTTCTTCCTGCTAGACATCCTCCTCCTTTCGTTTTTCAAACCACTGCAAATGTCCGCACACTTGCTCTATTTCAAACTATTTTTCTGTACAAATTTATCGATAGCTTTAAAAGTTTTGTCGCTAGTGGTGTAAGTCTCAAGTACTTCGCTCATCAAAAGTTCTTCTTCGATTTGCATTTCGAATGGGTACCTCACTAACACGAGAAGAAGATTAAGTCCCACTGCGTCGGTACTTTCGTCAAGTTGCAAACTTTTTAAATAAGCACCAATCTCAAATATACAACCTTCACAACGGTATACCCCAAGGCTCACCCCTTTCTGTGACTCTCTTCACAATAGCCTTCAACAAAGTGAGCTCCATAACCTCCTCTAATCCGCTTGTCGATCACTTCATATACGCAGATGACGTTTTAGTGTTTACTAAAATAATAGACCTGAACCAAGTCAAAAATGCATTCCTAAAAATTGTACATGATATTAATGTATGGTCTCAAAGTTCTGGTGCCAATATATCAGCTAGCAAATGCTCCACATTCCATATACATATGTCGAAAACACAATTGCTCCTTCCCCTACATATCCTTTTCTAACATCCGAATTCCCCATTCTAACACTTTAAAAATATTAGGCATAATATTTGATAAG